TCTTAATTGGCAAATAGCTTCACGCGTCTAGCGAATCTAGGATTCTTTGTGGGTTTGTTATACCCATTCCACATAGGTTCATTATACCTATTCTTCGTGGGTTTATTATACCCATTCAACATAGGTTCATTATACCTATTCTTTGTGGGTTTATTATAGCCATTCTAAATAGGTTCATTATACCTATTCTAAATACCAAACCTAATCCGTTTGAGTATTCATTATAAATTTCATCCGGTTTCGCAAAGGCTAAATTCATAATATTTAGTAGAAACCTTCCGTCACATAACCGTTAATCCTCGAGGGAACGACTAACGCTAGGTATAAGTGTCATAATATTGATCTTATATGGTACAACCGCCCGCCTGAAGTTGCTAGCTGCAACTACGTCTGACGAGATGAATTTTGGCGCTGGCGTTAGCATTATCGAACATTACCCCATGTTACAACGGGGTGAATGACTTTAGCACGCGCGCCCTATTATGGTGTCGGTGCAATAATAAAGTTCAGTGTCAAGAGTTTGGTTATGACATTGTCTAATATTCCTTTCGTTTTTAAATTAATAAAAACGACAAACGATGATATGATTATCATATAGTAAATTGACAAATAGAGACTCATTTACTAATAATGTGACAACCCGAAACTTTCTCCGTTTTCATTTAAGAATTCCGTTAATAAAATTTGAATTTTATAGAGTCCCGTCGAATTCCTTTGGTTTAGAAAGTCATTTCGTTATATAATTGAGCTTCATATACGAGTCGGAACCAAAACCACGTGAAATTTCGAGAATCCCTTCGAACAAGACCGAGTTCACGGCCGTACACTCGTTTACGACCAACATCGGGTGGACCCAATCACCGACCTCGAAAACACCTATAAATACGAGGCCCTACTCCTCATTTACACTTTTCTGGCGGACACTCTCTTTCTCTCTCTAGACTCGTGACCGTACACCCCTAAAACACCTTTACTCTTCCGGAAAAACATTGAAAAACACCATTGGGGGTCATTCCGTAGCATCTAGAACACGTTATTCATCAAATCCAGCAACCTTGTTCTTGAGTGTACGGCCGTACACCTTCAAATCTGCAAATCTTCATTGATCGCACACCAGTTCACGGCCGTACACCTTCAAAGGCCGTACACCCTTCGAGAGGCAGTCTACGGCCGTACACGGTTCACGGCCGTACACTCCCTTTACGGTCGTAAACCCCATTCACGGCCGTACACACTCCTTAAGTGCTGCTATTGACTGAAAATCCACTTTCCTCGATTCGATCAAGTCCCGGTAACATTCCTTAACCGAAAACAGGTGTTTTTCTAACATTTTATCTAACGAAATCGCTAATTTAGATACATATATGTATTTAATTGTTAATAGGATCCCGTTAAGTGCCACACGTTATGACTCAAGGGTCTTCATTTCAGTTCGTTGATTCGACGTTGCACACAACTAACTGTGAGTTCATACCCCTATGTCTTTATTGTTTTTTTTTACGTTTTCCAAGGGGGGGGGGGAATACAAGCCAAACATAAATGATTTTATGAAATTTATACAAAAGGATTTCAATAAACTTAAAACGGATGCAATGGATACAATTATACAGTTTCTATACTTTTCTAAAATATGTAGATATTTTGTCCCTTTTGTATTATGCAGAGCATAAGGGAAGTTTTCATCATAATCATAGAGATTTCAATGTAAAACATGAATTGAATACTTGAATGAACATATAAACTATAATAGGTATAGTTTATGGAACAATTAACATATCAATGCACAAATCATAGATTCAATGCAACCAGACATATAAACTATTAAATGTGTAGTTTATAAGATACATAGGCAGCAAGTTAAATTCAATGGATTCATTTTATTCTACATGTAATCGTTAGTATAGCATTTTATGAGTGAGCATTCTTCGTGTACTTCCCTAAGTACTAACAAAAGTCCTGAGATTATAACCAGAGTCTCCTGGAGGGAGAACGTGAGTTTGTGTATAGATCTATATGGGATTGACAATCCCACACCATAACTGCTAGCTACAGTTTGGCTGGCAGGCCTGGGTGACAAAGTCATTTCGATTTCGAAACCTGAAGAACGTCGTTCAGGCAATTCAATGGTCAAGTATGGTTATAACAACTCATAAATTTGGTACTAAGAAAATCCGATTAATGTATGAATGGTAATAACCTTAATTAGTTTTATTATAAAGTAATAGGACTACTATACATATTACAGTTTTCAGAGCTTTCCGAACTTACTATACATACTGGTGATAATCAGGGTTTTTCTTGTAAAAGAGGTTTCTTATTCAATCAAACAATGCTCAACACATTCAATGAGATTCAGTAGCAAATATTCATAGTTAGTTCTATAACTCCTTAATTTATGCATCAGGGTTAAGTATGAAGAATATTCGATAGACTGTGGAATATGTGATTTCTGCCCCATTTCCTGTTCCTTGTTTGGTTGTGGACTTAGGGCAGATCCACATAATCCACTGTCTGTTCGATATTGGTTTATACGTGACAAGTATGAATTAAGTAGTCATAGAAAGAACTGGTTTATCACACTTCAACTAAAGAAAATAATGGATTTTCTTGTAAACATATGAACATTTTCATAGATTCATTAACATGTTTTCTCTTCAAAAACATACTTATGAACTCATCAGCTTTATGCTGATACTCTTTCAAAACTGCTTGTATTCTCAGCAAATCAGTAGACAGGTAGCTCCGGGAGTTTTGAGAAGACGGAGCGTATAGAGTCTCGTCTTTCTTTTGCTACTTTATAATGTATATAAATATGAAGCAAACAGATGTAAATACCTTTTTCATATATGTATTCAATGTAATGGTTGTGTTTACTATGATTACTATGATGCAATTGTTGTGATACTATACATGAAGTCATCCACCCCCGAACGTTTCCGCCGTTCCGGTTTGGGGGTGTGACAAATAAGTTGGTTCAACCTATCCAACAGTAAAATAATCTTTTCGTGTTGGAAAATTGTCAAATTGTGTTTTGAAAAGAATAAAGGTTTTATTTCTCTATAATAAATTCTTTTATGAAACTTTTATGTTATTTTAAGAATATATGGAGTCAAAACCTGTAGGACTCACCAACATCATTGTTGACGTATTTTAACATGTATTCTCAGGAAATTAAGAAAAGAAATCCACGCGAGGAGTATGGAATCATCGTCTTATGTTTATGTTCTAAATTACGTTTTATGTTCTCTTTTTGAATCGTTGAAGATTTGTCATGAAACATGTAATAAAGTAAGATATAATTATGTCGTATGTGATGTAAGACTTTAAGTGGTTGTTTAATGTTTGATATATGCTATGTTTGTGATATTCGATTTTCGTCACTCACCCGACAATTCCGCCGTCGGCTGGGGGTGTGACAGCTGTGATCTGAATGGTGGGTTTAGGCATGACAGAGGTTAGGGTTTTTCTGAGGATCAAGACTCGAATGAGCAATCAAAGCTCTGATACCATATAGAGAGAAGAAGTAATGAAGTGATTTATGTATTGTATTGTATATTTGATATATGTACAGAGGGGCTTTTTATAGCTACTGATGAAACTATCTATGGGAATGATATATGCTAACGTTGGAGAAGTGACAACAGTAAATGAGTTTGATAATTCAAAATATATGCAGAATATTATCTCTTAATAAATTGGCCCTGAGTTATCAAGACAAATTTCCAGACTTCGAGAAGATGGGAATCAAAACTCACTACACAATAGCTATGATAATACGATGCAATCAACTATTCATGTAAACTAAAACCCATTGGAAGTGATGCAATCAACAACTCATCTACAATATTAAGATCATAATTCATCAAAAGCGCACACATAAATTCATTGTATTCACATACTAAAACTGATCAAAAACGCATACAATGATACATAAAAAGCCCTAAAATCCAAGATGTTAACATGAGAATTACTTGCTTATAGACGATTGCAAGAAGAAAGACGACGAGGTTAGAACCATAATTCCAAGTCTTATGTTTTTTTAGAAGATAGAGGCAATATGCTCCATTTAGTTTTCATTTCGATTTTAATGAGTTTAAAATATAAAAAATAATTATTAAATATTTTTTTTGGATAAATTTGATATTTTGAAAACTTAAAAACGGTAAATGTGATCTTTAAAAATTAGGTTTGACAAATATGATATTTGACATTTAACAAAGCATTTATGAAATTTTTCCTAGCAATAATGGTTAATGATTTGTAATGGTATCCAATTTTTTTATAATTATACATATTTAGTCACTAAACTTTTTTAACATGATTTGCCATTCAAATTATTCTAATTGTTCAAAAAATATCAATATGACCGGCAAACCCACTATACCCAGTCATATTGGTATATTTTGAACAATGTCATATTGGTATATTTTGAACAATTTGAACTAGTTGAATAGTAGGCCACATACAAAAAAAAAAAAAAAAAACAATGATCAAATATGTACAAACGTAATAGTTGAGTACCTTTTGAAGTCATTATCCGTTATTTTAACAAACCGATTACTTTCCATTGAGTTGACTGATCAACTTATGTTAAACTTTTTTTTTTAATAAATTTATAGATAAATAGTGTATTAGATTTGATTATATAAACTATAAAATTAAATTAATAATATATGTATAGAATACAATATAATTTTGAAAACTGTAAGCATTTGAATACATTTTAAACCATTTTCTAGCCATTTAACCTATTTAATTCATTAGGTATATTCCTCTCTTAAGTAATTGTTTATTTATTTTATTCATATGATGGATATTTAATAAATTACAAAACAAATTAATCCCCTATAATAATATAAGCAAAGTCAAAGTTGTCGACGCCGTTAACAAAACAGTACTTAATTGTTCAACAATGGTTGGTAGATTATTGGTGCACGTTAACCAATTAATAATAAAAGATATATATGCAATCTGTGAAATCAGATGTCTTACCTCATCCACACAAAAGGTATATCGTCCCAAATTCAGTAGCTATATGACAATCTCCTTCCAAATGCTACGCTTGTAATTTCTTTCAACACTTTATCTGAATTATCAAATAACTATTTTCTCAACAAACAATGGAAGCCTTCCTGAAAGAGATCCAACATCTTAAAATCCAACTAGAAGATATAAAGTCAGCCACAAACAACTTTGATAACAACAAAATCATCGGAAGAGGCGGATTTGGAAAGGTGTACAAAGGAGTGGTCTGTCACTCTAAGGGGCAAAGCATGGTTGCTTTTAAGCGTCTAGATAGTAGCTATGGGCAAGGATATCCTGAGTTCTTGAAAGAAATTCTAATGCTTTCCCGTTGCACACATGAAAATCTCATCTCACTCGTGGGATTTTGCAATGAAGATGATGAAAAGATCATTGTGTATGAGTATGCATCTCATGGAAGCCTCGATCATCATTTAAGTAACACTGATCTCACATGGAGGCAACGTCTCAAGATATGCATTGCAGCTGCAAAGGGGCTCTGCTATCTTCATGATCCCAATGGATCAAAACAAAGAGTTATCCACCGTGATATTAAAAGTTCCAACATTCTACTTGATGGGAATTGGAATGCTAAAGTTTCTGACATGGGACTATCGAAAATAGGACCCGCTAATCAGTCACACAGTTTTCTTCCCACCAATGTTGTGGGTACCTTTGGGTATATAGATCCGTTGTATATGGAGACATACTCCCTCACCAAAGAGTCGGATGTATACTCTTTTGGTTTGGTCTTATTTGAAGTATTGTGTGGGAGACTATGCATTGAACATAAAAATGGTCATTTCCATAGTTTAGTGCCAATGTGGAAAAAAAGATATGAAGAGACGAAATTAGATGAGATTATCTTTGAAGAGGTGAAACAACATATGGATCAGAGGTCATTGAAAACATTTTCAGACATTGCTTATCAATGTTTGCGTATCTCTCGTGAAGAACGACCAAAGATGTCTCATGTTGTTGAAAAACTTGAGTTCGCGCTTGAGTTTCAAGAGATTTCTGAAGAGGTGGAGCTACCAATTGACTATGAAGAGATGAGTAAGGCTGCAGTTCCTCCTCTGGTCTACAGATCCAAAGAAGAACTAATGATGCTTCTCTCCAAAGGAATCATGGTTAACGAGGGCAAAACGGTAATTACATATATCTATAACTATAGAATATCGCTTTAGATTTAATTTATCTATATTATAAATGGTAACTTGTGATTTATGAAAAGTTAATCTAAGCAGATGATTATAACCAAATAATTGCAAAGTATACATTTCCATGTAGATCTATTTAGTAACACTCATGTTTGAGATTTCACTTTACCTTCAAATGCTAACACAATATATTCAATATAACTTGAAAACTGAGAAAATATTGGCTCTACAACTCTCTACTCTCATAAATGTACTTGTATCCTAACTTGAGCTTTTTAATGGACAGTGGTTTTCGTTAAATAAGAGTGGAGAACATTGTGAAATGATATCCGCAGCAGAATGTTTAATTCCTTTGTACTCTATACCTCGACAAAAAAAATATTTTTTCCTCGAGGAAATCAAAGTTAATTACATGCCCTCCTTTGTGTTTCTAGGTTGTTTAGACTATTTCATGAATATATAATATATAATGTACTCTTTGATGCTCCTTGATGCAGATTTATAGTGAATGACAATATACCATTATGTTGGAAATTCAAAACACATGTGAGAACACAGTTTTTGTCACCACATATCACATACACAATAAATCTTGTGTTCAATTTGGAGTACAGAAGTAGCGACTATTTAGGCCTTGGTTACATATTGGCTGGGGAGACAAATTCTTCGACTTCATACTTTGCAGATAAGAGAGAAGATGGATTGTTGATGGCTGAATTGTATCACTTTGCTAGTGATAGGAGAAATGTTGATCTTGAAATTACATTTGAATGCCAAAATCCATTGATAGTAGAAGGCATCGAGTTTCAACCCATGGAGAGAGTAAGCCGACAAATGCCAATTTATTGATTTGGAGCATTTTGTTTATGTTTTTAGTTCTTCAAACACTGTTAGAAAATAAATCAGTAGCAAATACATTTCAAAGAAAGAGAATACGAATCCTTTTTATGTAATTGTTCAAAGTCTAATATGTCAGTTTCCTAGGTGGAAAAGCATGAAGTGTTAGAGGATAAGGAGGTGGATTTGCAAACCATGTCACATTCAGAAACATATTGGGAACAAAAATTGCCAAATGATTGGGAAGAGATGATCAAGTGGTCAAAAGATAGTCTGCAATGGACAACAAAGAAGGAACTCTATTCTATTCTTTGCAAAGGATTCCTAATCAATAATGGGGAAGAGGTATATTTGATTTAAATGATTTGTTCTTATGAGTTTTGAGACACTCTTAATCATTTAATTCTCATATGTACCATGTTGTGAAGCCCTATGAACATTATTTCAAAGGAAAAACTCCAGAATTCTAGAACAATTATTTACACATTTATTGATTTACAGTGGTTTTCTCTTGCAAAAAATGGGAAGAAATGTCATATGCTATCAGCAAGAATATTGGCTTTGCGAAAATCAGAATGGAAATGGCGTTCTTTACCTGAATCAAGGTTCTTTCTTTATCTCTTGTTAACAAGGGTATCATTGTGTTTCCCTATTTTAAGAAAATTTCTGTTAAAGGCAACAATTTATTTTTGCAGATTTGAAGAAGTTGCTTTTGATCCTCATGGCAGCTTTCGGATAAAATGTAGCTCTAATATCCTTTCGCCTGAAACAACATATGGAAGTTACCTTGTCTACAAATTACAAGAAAACTATTCTGGATATGAGCCACCTTTAAAAGTGATTGATGGTGTGAAAGTGAGTGATGGTGTTTTCTTTCAACCTTTTGAAAGACAAATCATAGTGAGGAAGATCTATCATGGTATATCTATTTACTTAGTCCTCAAACCCCAATTATTAGACGAAAGGTTTATCAAGATAACCATGAGCTTGTGAATAGACCCAAGAAGAAACGGATTCCACAACAAAGGAATGATGGCTGGATGGAAGTAAACGTATGGGAATTTCAAACTGGTACTACAACCGAAAGTATATCCAAGAATCTTAGATTAATGACCATTTCTGATGCTAATAGGTCGCTTAAAGGGCTTATTGTGCAAGGCATTGAGTTTAGACCCATATAAGTTCACTTAATTATGCACTGATCTGATACGTCTCCAAGATTTATCTTTTTATCATTATTTCAAATTAGGAGTTATCTTTTATAGAAATTAAATATCCTCATACTTTTTCTTCCTACACATCCTCCTACCACTTTTAGATGATGACAATTATAATAAAAAATTAATAACTTTATTAAATCCGACAAATGTCACAATCTTAAGTGTCTAAGACGAGGTAGTAAGAAAAAATGGGAAGATATTTGATTTCTCTATCTCTTATTATTATTTAAGATTAGTATTTCCTTAATATTTTGTTTTGGTATGTTTTTAGTTTTGGTAAGTAGGGTTTTGTCAGAAACATTATAGAACATTATAAGTATATGACCTTAGGGTCGTTTTTAGATAGTCAATTAAGAAAAAAATCAAAAATTACCACAAAATGACATGTGGAAATTAATTTTTAAGAATTAACCACAAAATTACATGTGTCCAAATGCATAAGAAATTGACAAGTGGCAAAAAGTTCTTTATTTATTAGGAAGGATATGTCTTTCTTTCATCATTTGCTGTTAGGAACACATACCATTAGTTTACATTTGAGCGTTATTTTAGTAACAAAGCATTTATAAACTGTTATTTTAGTAACGAAACATTATATTTGTTGGAACTCCAATATTTTGTTAATTTCTTGAGGATTTGAACTCATCCTACATGTTTTTTAGACATCCTTCGCCTGATTTGTTTGAAGTTTCAACCCATTTTAATCATATTTTATTACCTGCACATATTGTTCCACAATTCATCAAAGTATGGTCATTTTTGGGAAAACACAGATCAATTGAACACATTTAATATCGTTTATTACGTTCCCAAAATCGTCCGATCAAACCTCCCCGACTTTATTCCAACCTCGTCCCGAGGTTGACCTGAAATCATCAGTGTAGTCTTATTTTTCATCGTAAGAAAAACTCAACAAAATCACAAAACCCATGAAGGCGTTACCATGGCCACCGCATGCCGGTAGGGGTACACCCACCAACCTATATATGTTATTGATAATTTTTGTTTTAGGAAATGCAAGTAAAAAGAAGTAGGATGGGCATGGTAAGGCAGTAAGGGTAGGCAGATGCTTGGCCCCTTGAACCTAGCTTATCTCTGAGTTATGGATGCAGCTACCTCACGACCAAAAAACAGAAAATTTCAATCTCTTTTAAAATTAAGAATGTCATTTTGCCCTACTTAAAATAAATATAGTAATAACAGAGGTAGGTAGCAATAGTGTTCACAAGATCGATATGCGGTTATATAAAAATTAAGATTGTAATTTATAAGCATATCTAAATATTTTTGAAAATAAACCACAAACTTTCCTAAAAAATAACCAATTACCAAAAATATTAATTTACAACTATATTAGATAGACATTGCAAACAAATCTCAAAACAAAAACTAACTAATCAGAAAAAAATCGAATGGTTATAAGGAGTTTAAACTGTATCGGTTACTAAAACTATCAACTAGCAAGATTTATAAACAGATCAAAAAAAAAGTATGGTTTTTCCTTTTTGAAACTTACCATGGTCACCAAACTTCCCTCCAATAACTTTGTTCTATATAGTCTAGGGGATGTGTGCATCCGCATCTTCGTTTTGCCTACACTGGTCGTCGGCCTTCAATCGTGTGCCTCTGCTTGTCGCTGAAGAATTGAAGGTAAAAACTCGCTCTCTCAAAACTTTGAGTTTATTTCTTCTACTATTTCTCCAGGAATATAATATGTTGGTGAACTTTCTTCCCAAGGTATTTACACTTTCTTTCTCAAATTTCTCTAGGCAACTTAAAAGACTATTAAAGCATTTATATTTTCCGACATCCCAATGGTTGATACAAGCTATAAAGTATACCTATGTACTTGCAGTGTTTTAAAACTCTCCGAGTTGGCCGATTACTCCTCCGAGTACTCGCTATTCGGCCTTTAACAAGGCGAGTTACAAATCCCGAGTACTCCCCGGTCGACCCTTTTACTGAACTGAGCAGTGTTGTAAAACTCGGTCAACTTGGTGATTAATATGTATAATATACTTAATGGTTTATTATTTAACAAACACATGTGATTATTACTACTTATACATCTTAAATTTTTAGTAATTATTCATGAAGTGAGACCATTATGTGTCTTTTTAGTTTTTGTGTATTCACATGTATCTAATTTTGTTATATATTTCAATCAACTTATGATTTTAACTTATGCTTTTGACATATATAATTTCCCTAAAAATATTTCTACATGAATTACCAAATCTGAGTACTCCCCGAGTACTCCCGAGTACTCGCTACTTGGTAGTCGACCGAACATGTACCGAGTAACGAGTTCTACAACCTTGTGTACTTGTATACAAAAAATATTTAGGTATTTGTCTAATAAGGCTAGAGGGAGTGATGCATGTATGCCATGTTGTCACATCAGCTCTTTAGCAGCCACCTTACAGCCACCTCACTGCCACATCACTTTTGCCACAAAACATGTATGCATGTTACTTTCAAGGGGTGGGTTAAATGCTTAAAAAAAGAAATAAACGTACACTCACATGCACATTCTCTCTCTCTCTCTCTCTCTCTCCTCTCTCTCTCTCTCTCATCGACACAAACAAGTCATTTGAAGTTGCCATCTTACCATGCTATCTTTGAGGGGCGGTGTATGCCACCATGCCAAGAACATGCCACCCCTACTCCCCCAAGCCTAATATATAATTGTTTATTAGGGATATATGTCAATTTGAATTTAACGTTATCATGTAAGTTATTAATTTTTTTTAACTATTTGGTATATATATATATATATATATATATATATATATATATATATATATATATATATATATATATAGGAATTTATGGAATGATTATAAAAAGTTTATATATTTGTTAGGTGTAACGTCCCATTTTCACCAACAAAATTTTTCATTTTTAATTATGGTGAAACATCATTTTCATAAAACCCAAGTTAAGAAAACTCGTTCGATCCAAATTACAATTGTTTGAAAATCAGAGTAACGTAATAAATGAGTGTGTACAGTCACAACTTCTCCTTCCTACGATCACCAAAAGTACTTGAAAAACATTTAATCCACAACTGTAAGCCAAATCTTAGTGATTTCCCCCAAAATATCACATACAACAACATAATAATAAACAACTATGAGTTATTAGCAACCCTGAGACTATCAGTAGTCCTGAGGACTATCGACAATCCTAAATATCACATACAACACAACAATATAAACAACTATGCTTTATCAGCAACCCTAAGACTGTAACGCCCCGATTCTCAGGTATTGATTTAATGTGTGAGTTCTTGATTTCAAGGGCTACTCGACGAGTTGATTGCCCTACTTTCGAGTAGTAGCGGGTTGGTCTACGTATTTTAATGACCTACTCGCCGAGTCCAAGAAGGGACTCGACGCGTAGGAGCTGGCAGATGAAACCCTAAATCTCGGGGTTTTGCACCCTATTTAAAGGATCATTGGCCTCCCCCAGCCTCCCCTTTACTGCCCCTTGTCCCTCTCAAACCCTAAATCGTGTGTGTGTGTGTTCTTTGGTGTGTTCAATCTTGGAGGAGGAACTTTGGAGAAGGAAACACTTGGGGAAGCAAAGAAATCAAGGCTAGGAACTCGTGGGGAGTTAAGAGATTCATCAGTTGTCACTCTCTGGAAGGTATGAAGCTGTTCCTTTAGCTCATCTCTCTTTTAACCTCTTTTGGATGGGGTTTATGAAAGGCTCCCCATGTTTAAGCTAAGATCTGAAGTTGTAACTTCAGATCTGGACTCCTTTTGACCTCTTAATCCATAAAGTCATCAGCCTTGCCTAGTAAGAGCCTTCCCTCAAGTGTGAGACTTCATTGAAAGCTTAGTTTTGCCATTTAAGGGTCTTAAAGCTTTACATGCACGTAAAGTTTGCGACTTTACGTGATAAACATGCCCTAGAAGCTTGGATCTGTAATCTGGAACCTTGCCATGGCTTAAAAAGCGTCTGCATGGATAAAGGTCTGCAAGGACTCGGCGAGTTGGATGAACAACTCGGCGAGCCTGTTAAAGATGGTGATGAACTCGACGTGTTAGATGAACAACTCGGCGAGTCCGTTGAAGATTTGCCTTGAACTCGGCGAGTCGTTCGAAGACTCGGCGAGTCAGCTAGGGTTTCTCCCAATTCTTGGACACGTATGAACTCGGCGAGTTAAAGGGGAACTCGACGAGCCAATCAAGGATTTCACGACTTCTCGAGTTTAGGAAGGACTCGACGAGTCGAGTCAACATGGACTGTTGACTTTGACTTGGACCAAGGGTTGACCAGTTGACTTCTGAGGGTATTCTGGTAATTTGGAGATTTATGAAAAAGGGTTTTATGGTAACTATAGGTGGTGGAGCTCGTGTTGGTGATCCGGGAGTTTAGCTTTCTAGTTTCAGACGACAGTTTCAAGGTGAGTTATCCTCACTATACTAAGGGGTCTAAGGCACCAAGGCCGGCCCATTGGGTGTGTTATCCAAGCTGTATTGGTTGTTGAGTATGAGTCAGTGTTGTATGTTAGTGGTTATTCCAGTTAGGTGGATCTGTAGGACTACCTATGATGTTATATGATTATTGCATGCTCAGTAGTTATGTTATATGTTACATGTTATGTGGGATGGGTTGAGGTTGTATTGCTCCGTGCGGTAGCCAACAAACCCTAGAGTATTCCAGATATGAGCTGAGGGCCCGGTAGGCATTCCAGACTCATACTGAGGACTCGAGAGCATTCCAGATATGAGCTGAGGGCCTGGTAGGCATTCCAGACTTGTACTGAGGGATCGATGGCATTCCAGATACGAGCTGAGGGCCCGATAGGCATTCCAGACTCGTACTGAGGGCCCAGGGGGTAATCCAGCTCGTAAAGCTGTGGACCCATTGTATGCTGTTTCAGTTTGTTATGATATGTTATTACTGATATGGTTATGTGGACTGTATGTGTATCGGTATTTTGGGGGTGACTCACTAAGCTTTCGGGCTTACAGTTTCAGTTTAT